TATTTTATTGCCCTTCCCCTAACAAAACTTTTGTGTTTTTGCATTTATTTATTAGTTCTATTGTTTTTCTTTTTTCTAATGATTAATCTCTGCATTTATACTCATTACTATTTTCCATCTGCTTTCCTTGGGTTTGTAGTTGTTATTCTTTTCCTTGAGTTCAATGCTTAATTTATTTTCATTGTTTCTTGTGTTAATTAGGGTAGGCTAAGCTGCAGTAGCAAATGGATCCCCCATTTTGGTAACAACGCAATAGAAATTAATTTATTTCTATTGTAATTTATTTCCAAGTAAGAAGCAGGCATTTAAGCTGGTGAATCAGCTACGCCATGCTGAGGCCATTCAGGGCCCTGGTGTTCTGCTTTGAAATCATTCAATTTTTTTTTTTTTTTTTTTTTTTTTGCGGTACACGGGCCTCTCACTGCTGTGGCCTCTCCCGTTGCGGAGCACAGACTCCGGACGCGCAGGCTCAGCGGCCATGGCTCACGGGCCCAGCCGCTCCGCGGCATGTGGGATCTTCCCGGACCGGGGCACGAACCCGTGTCCCCTGCATCGGCAGGCAGACTCTCAACCACTGCACCACCAGGGAAGCCCCCATTCAATTATTTTTTGCTAAATGCAACCGGGAACAGTCAATGTGCACACACATTCTTTCTTTTTTTCTTTCCCAATTTTTTTCTCCAGAGTCGTAGGCTCAGTAGCTGTTGGTAGGTCATCTGAGTCCCTGAAGAGGACACTTTTACCAAATAATTTAATGCTGCATGACTTGGGTCTCCATCTTTCCAGCCTGCAAGATGTTCCCTTGCTCCTCACTTGCTCAACAGCTGCTAAGCCAATGCCAACTATTTTAGGTTTTATTACATTTGTACACTATTTCAAGGTAATAATTTCTGTGTTAGGGTAGGTTGTGCTGCAGTAACAAGTAAACTCCCAAAATTTAGTCCTTTCTTCACAGAACAAAAATGTATATCTTGCTTATTAAAAGAATAACTGGACAGGAATTCTTGCTTTATGCAGTTGTGTTTACAAGCAGATATAAGAATAGAGGGGTTATAAACAAAAATATATTTGTACTTTTTTTATATGTACTTGCGTAGTTACCTTTACGGGTGCTTGTTATTGCTTTGTGTGGATTGGAGTTATTGTCTAGTGTCGTTTAATTTCAGCCTAAAGATGCCCTTTTATCTTTTCATAGGGTTCTGTAGGGTGGGTCACTGAGCTTGGGATGGAGGAGGGGTGAGAATGGCCCCTGTTAAAATGTCACAGACCCTACTGTCGTACCTAAGTTCAATAGTTCCTCTTGGATGGATGATTTGCAGTTCAATCTATGGCTTTGGTTAATTTTTAGGGTTCTGAAATGATTGTTCTTAGTTGCTCTGCCTGTATTTTCATTGCTTTTGGGGGAGAGTGAGTTCATCAAGGTCCTCCTCTGATTGGAGATGTCAGTTGCCCTAGGATCTATCTTAATGTTCATTTTTCGTTGTCATTTTGGGGGTAGGGGCATGATGCACCCTTTTAATGTTTAGGTAAAGTCCTCTTTTATTTCTGAAAAGTTTTAAAATTAGATTTTAGAATATACTTTGGGTCCTATTTCTATTCTGTTCTTCAGGGACACTAATTTGTATATAAGGTTAAAAAATTGTTTTAGATAAATAAAGGCCACAGTGGCCTTCAGAAGACATGAATAGACTAATCAGGTGAAAGAAGAAGTGTCCTTTTGGAGGCAAGCTTTCCAGAGTATTGAATTCCCCCTCGTTTAAAGTCTTTTCTTGCTTGGCTGTGTCAGCCACGGGCTCTATTTTACTGCCTCTGATGCAGCGCTCTGGTGCCACCTAGTGCTACAAATGAGTAAAGGCCACTCTGCTTTTTTTTCTTCACTTTTTTCAACAATAACAACAATAATAATAACTGGCGTTTTCTACTTCAAACTTGACTGTTTGAGTTATAATATGCAGTTAAAAGAACCAAAAATGTGTTTTACATTATATGCTTACTCTTAGGCAGAATGAGGCATATTTGGGAAAATCTCAAATGATCTTGGAGTGAAGGGTTAGTATTCTATTCATTGGGAATTTTTCCTAAATGCAGTCTTGTTGTCCTTATTTCCATACTTCTTCATGCCTACTGACTGAGGATGAGCCTATCTTTTCTCTGCTCTCTCCAAATTCTTTATGGATGCTCTATGAAATCCCTGCATCATTATAAATAATCTCTGCTTCACCTCCGACTCCTACATGAAGGACCAACCCTATGCCTGCACTCCTCTGTACTCCTTCTCCACGTGTGTCCTCCACGTCCTGACGTTATCCTCTCTACTGTATAATTCTACCTCCATTAGAAATACCTTACTCTAGGATTTCCCTGGTGGCGCAGTGGTTAAGCATCCGCCTGCCAATGCAGGGGACACAGGTTCGAGCCCTGGTCTGGGAAGATCCCACATGCTGCAGAGCAATTAAGCCCGTGTGCCACAACTACGGAGCCTGCACTCTAGAGCCTGTGAGCCACAACTACTGAGCCCATACGCCACAACTACCGAAGCCCACGTGCCTAGAGCCTGTGCTCCACAACAAGAGAAGCCACCACAATGAGAAGCCCGCGCACTGCAACGAAGGGAAGCCCCCGCTCATCGCAACTAGAGAGAGCCCGCACGCAGCAACAAAGACCCAACGCAGCCAAAAATAAATAAATAAATTAAAAAAAAAGAAATACCTTACTTTATATTTCTGACCTCTTAAAAAAAAAGCTTTACAGGTTTATGATTTTCAAGGTAATATAAAAAGTTTCAATAATAAAACATAATCCATCCAAAAGAAGTCAAGAAAGAGATGAAGAAAGAGGCAGCCACTCCTGATTTAAGAAGCAAGAGAACTTACATACGAGGCTTGTCTTGGGTGGCCACAAGACAGGTAGATCTCCACGCCTGCCCGCCAGAAACTTAAAGAGTTTATATAGAGGCCTTAATGGGGTTCAGTCAGGTATACAGTCCATATGGTCTCAACCACACATTACTCTCTCAAGGCTGCATCCTTGAAGTGGCTCCTAGCATAGGGATGGTGGGCAGGATGTACCTTCCAGCAGTATGCCTTCCATATGGGCATCTCCAGGAGGAGACATATATTCAATTCCATCGTAGCATACAGCACATTTAATTGCAAGTCTTTGTTGATTTGCCTGTCTCCCCTTGTAGTCTGTGAATTCCTTCATGGTAGGGACTATATATTTTTTGTATTCGCTTTCTCTCCTTCAACAAAATGCCCGGCACACAGAAGGTGCTCAATAAATATTCCGATGAATCAGGCATGAATAAAGGATGAATGAATAATCAGAATGAATAAAGGCACTCCTTCAGTGCAAGAATGGACCTATTTCTTCTGGACCCAAGCACATGAGAGCAATCCTTTAATGTGGGTCTTTTCTGTGGAATTGATCGATCGATTGATTGATTCATTAAACATGTATAGAGTGCCTGGTAGGTTTCAAGCGATGAGTCCATATAAAATCAAGCATCCTCTGTACCTTTGAGAAAATGATTCTTTCAGTACAGAAAGCAGTGTTATTATATTTTGGTTAGTCATTCCTACAGATGAATGCTGAGTAGATTAAAGAGCGGTTAAAGCTGAAGGCTTACACACCAGCGTGACATTGGACTTCCACGTCCCAGACCTGCTCCTCAGGATGGCCCTCCCCTTGTTTCACTTCCGCATAAGGAGGCTTAGGCCTCGGCCAAGAGCAAAAGCTGCTGCAGACCAGAGCATGGCCGGGGCATATACAGGTGCACATATCAGGTGAGGTAAGCATGATGCAGAAAAGACATGTTTGGGGATCAGAGCGTCTTTCTCATCCTCCTTCTTCCCCAAAGGCCCTAACTCACACAAGCCTAATGCTGCTCACACGTAAGGAAGTCGTGTTCCCTTTTCTCTCCACGCGTCCCAAAGCCTGCTCGCTGCAACAACATGAAGCTCATTTACTTTAGGTTATCAGTGACTAATAATGAGAGCTTCCCCTCCTCATTCTAAGAAAGCAAGTTCCTCTTTATTTCTTCCCTGTCGAAAACCTGCTTTCAGAAGAGAATCTGAAATTTCTCTACTATAAAAGCTTAAAAATTATTAGTTCAGTGATACCTTCTAGTGGGTCTTCCTATCTAAACAGTATACCCGATTGATGCCTGGGATTATGTTCTAGGAAATATATAAAAAGGCAGGTAGCCTAACTGAAGCTCCTGAAATTATTCCCAAAAGGTGGTTATTTTCGTTATCTGCCAGGGTGGACAACAGCAAGGGAGGAGGAGAAAAGGTCAGGGAGGAAAAGATATCAGGGTCAAGGGTGCAGGTAGAGCTTAGCTAGTAGAACGTCTGGGGTGAGTGGTCAGTTAAGGAGAATGAAGCTGTGCAGGCAGTGCTCAGGGCAAGAAATTACATTGAGGAATGTGTGACAGGAGCTGGAGTTACATAACTATTTTGGTGCAGGCTGCAAAAAAAGGAAAAAGCAAAGGACCATGTCCTGGTTTGTCTCTTCTGCACGAGAACATCTTTGATTTTTAAGCTTTCCATGCTCCCTTATAGGAAGATGAGGTGAAGAGGTAGGGGGGAGCTGCCAGAGGTAAGAGAAGAGGCTGGAAGGACTCAGAAATTCTTCTCACCCTCGCGCCCCCCTCGCCGCCCTCCCCCAAGGAAGGCCAACGGAGTGACTCTAGGCGGGCGCTGGGAGGAGCCTCTGGAGCATCCTCCCAGCAGCCGCCTCTGGGCACCATGGGAAAATCCTTCCTCCCTCGGACATGGCGCTCACCTGCCCAGCGGCAGCAGCCGGCTCCGGCGCCGCGGTTCGCGGGTGCGGGCAGAAGAGCAGTTGGAGCTTCGGCCGTGGGGCGGAAGGAGCTGGAGGGGGCGGCGGCGGCGGCGGCGGCGGCGTCCGTGACGCCGCGCGAGGGCCCGCGTGTTAAAGCTGAGAGCGTCCGGGCGGCGGACGGCTGGCAGCGGGCCGCGCGGCGCGCGCCGGCCCCGGGGCGCAGGCATGGCGTCCCGGGTGCTGCTGCTGCTTCGGCAGGGCGTGTGGGCCGCGCTCACCGGGGGCTGGTACCACGACCCGGACCAGAGCAAGTTCACTAACAGCTGCCACCTCTACCTGTGGCTGTTCTTGCTGCTGCTGCCCCTGGCCCTGCACCTGGTGAGTGGCGGCGTTCAAGCCGTGGGGAAACCTCCGAGTCGGCCTCGGGATGGAAAGGATTGGCAGTGATTCCCTAAGAGGCGGTATGGGGAAGGTCTTCAGGAATTTGGGACAGAGAAAGTAAAGGGAAAGGAGAAGGGGCTCTCCGGCAGGAAAAAGAAGTAGGAAGGACTTTGGGGGCTCTGCGGCTCATTAAGAATTGATACCAGCTGTTCCCATGAGTCAGACTCTGCGTGTCGCTGTGGAAGGTTGAACCTGTTTTGTCTGTGAACCGTCCCAGGCCTCTCAGCTGGGTACCTTGTGGTAATGTTTGGTAGAAGCTGCTGTGCATGATAGCCAAAAGGCAAAAATGAAGTGTTAAAAGCAAACCTGTTTCCGTTGTTGACCTTTTACCCCCTTTCCTCCTTTTTTTTTTTTTTTTTTTTGCGGTACGCGGGCCTCTCACAGCTGTGGCCCCTCCCGCTGCGGAGCACAGGCTCCGGACGCGGAGGCTCAGCGGCCATGGCTCACGGGCCCAACCGCTCCGCGGCATGTGGGATCTTCCCGGACCGGGGCACGAACCCGCGTCCCCTGCATCAGCAGGTGGACTCCCAACCACTTCGCCACCAGGAAAGCCCCTCTCTTTCCTCCTTTCTTGTTTTGCTTTGGGAAGGCAGGTTCTATGATTAGTTGCTCAATTTGCAATTTCCACATCGCTGTATAAAGAAATCTGTAGAAAAATGTAATGATGGATAAATCTAATGTAATTTATTTGACCCTTTAGGGAGGTTACACAGCTGAGTGCTTGCTGAGTAACTACACAGATGACCTTCTTAGGTAAACAAACCTTATTGAAACAATGTTTAACCTTATCTGAAAAGCTCTACAAGCAGGGTGTTCCATGTCATATTAAATGTTAAGAATCTAATTTTGATATGTCTGTTGAAGGTCTTTATTCCTAAAACATCATTTGATCATGTTCTCCACAGCAAAAATCTTCAGTGAGTTTGCATGGCTGACAGAGTCCCAGTTTGACATTAGAAGTTGTTGTGATTTGGCTTCCATTTATTGTTTTTCTGGTGGTTTAGCCACAGGATCAGAATTCTGGCTCTGAAGTCAGGCTGCCTACGTGAAATTTTGGGTTCACCTCTTACCAGTTCTCTGACCTTGGGCAAGTTACTTTTACCTTATCTGATTTTTTAAAATTTTCTTACCTGTGAAATGAGAAAAACACTAGGACCAGATGTGAAGTGTTGTTTTAGGGATTAAATAAGCACCTAAAGCTATCCATCTTTCTGGCTTGACCTGGGATTGGACTCAGACCTGGTGTAAATTTCCGTTTTGCTACTTATGAGCTGTTTGACCTGATAGTTGACCTATCTAAATCTTGCTTTTGTCATTCTTAAAATAGATGTGATAATGACCATTTCATGGGAAAAATAAATAAATTCCATGTAAAAAGCATTTCATACAGCGGCTAATCCGTGGAGACCCTTTAATAAATGGTTTCTTTTTAATAAATGTAAGTTTCCTCTTCTTCTGTGACCTTGTTCATCCTGTTTCCTTAGCCTATAGGGCCCAGTGTTTTCTCTTTGTCTAGAGGGGCAGCGCAGCAGAGAGACGAGGAACACAAGCTTGGGTTCAGTCCTGGTTCTTCTGCTTACTGGTTGTGTGAGCTCAAGCAAGCTTGAGCTTTCTGGCGTGTAAAGCAGGGCTGAGTACCTGCCTTATAGGGTGCCTAGGAGGATTGAATGAATTAATGAATAGAGAACTGAATGAATTAATGAACAATTGATTGAATGAATGCATGAAAGTACTTCTCAGTACTGACTTTATTTTTTCCCCATCATTCACTTGCCAAAATTGAAAGCCCACTGGAAAGGCCATCTCTGTCTAGGCTTCCCTGATCCCACTTATCTAGAATTAATCTCTCTTCTCTCTTGCCCTAATACCATTCTGTATTTCATGTCAGTACTATGGCACACTTTGAATTCTGTACTTCGTTGTTGGAACATGTATTTTACCTCTGCTCCTGGGTCGTGAGCTTTTTGATTTTTTGAGGACATGGTTTTTGATTTTGTTGATTCACCTTGGTTTTCCTTGTTATACCTAGCAAAGTGCCCTGCATTTGCCTTGCAATGATCTCACACATAATAAAATGGTAGAAATAAAATCAACCTGCCTCTCTTTCTCTTCCAACCAGCATTAGGTTGTCTACCTCACAACATATTTTGAGTATTTCCCGATAATGATCTAATCCCACTCCTTAGCAACAACCTGAGTAACATTTAATGTATATCCCTGCAGATGTTTTTTTTATGAGTACGGGCTCATTTTTACATAACTCCTTTTAAGATTTTATGTAGGCATATGCTTGGAACCCTTAATTTCTGCCTAATTATGATTCATTGAGTAGCTTGATTGCTACTTTATATTTGTAAATAGGAAATTGTCCTTAGTTAAGGTCCTCTTTAATGATATTTCAAAATAATTTTTGGCTAAATCTCAAGAGTTTAGAAAGCAAAAAACTGACACCTTAAATACTTTAATTCTTACATCAAACCAGTTATACTAAAATTTCTGTATTTTTATGCCAGTGTGCTTTTAACGATTACAGAGTCATTTTATGTGAGTGCATTTATTACATGGCTGCTTTTTAATATATAGCCTATCTTATTGAAAAAAATGCAGGTAGTCCTTTTCTTGCTCTGGTCTTCCGGTCTCTGAAAATAACCTTAGAAATAAAAGACCCTTCTTCCCCAATGCAGGGTTCTGTTCTCTGGGTTTTGATGCCTAAATATATTTTTCTGCACTTCAGTGCTGCCTGTGATTTTTAACATCTTTCTCAGTTTGTCCCACTTATGAGAACTTGGTCCAAAAAGATCCCTGGCTGCTTGCTGAAGCTCTGTTATTTAAGGGGCCCTGAACTTTTCTGGGTTTTGCACAATTCGATTTAAACATGTTTAGTCAGGACAGTTCCACTGCAGGGAGAATCCACCCTTTTATTTAATGGGGACCTTGAATATGTAAATTAAAATTTTATTATTAATTACTGAGGCAAACTGATCTCTAAGCCCCAGAATTTACTTAGGTCTGGTTGGAAAATAAGTTATTTATTAGCATTTATAGGCTATATATTTTCGATAAATGCTCAAAAGTACGTACCTAAAAACATTAGGTCTATTTAAATAATTTAGAAAGAGTTTTACTTTGTTTTATTATTAACCTACTTAAAAAATATTTATTTACTTGGTTGCGCTGGGTCTTAGTTGTGGCAGGCAGGCTGCTTAGTTGTGGCAGGCGGGCTCCTTAGTTGTGGCTCACTGGCTTCATAGTTGTGGCATGTGAACTCTTAGTTGCAGCATGCATGTGGGATCTAGTTCCCAGACCAGGGATCGAACCTGGGCCCCCTGCATTGGGAACGCAGAGTCTTAACCACTGTGCCACAGGGAAGTCCCATATCAGCCTACTTTTAATTTGGACCAACGGAAAGATGCGTTTGTCATTAGAGATGTTTAACCTTTCATTTATTACACATGTTCATGTACTTATTATTTTGAGATAACCAACAGAGATTCATGTAGAGCTTTAGGACAGGAGCATCCAGGGCATGATTCTGACCCTTAAGAAGTTCTGACAGCACCAAGCTAGTGTCAGAAGATGTCCTTGCTCTACTACCTATCAATTGTGTGATATTGTGCAAGTCTCTTCACTTCTCCGGGCCTCAGTTTTCTCATCTGCAAAATGGAGATAGCGAGTTTTGCTTTATAGATTTAAGCAACTGAGATCCAGAGGGAGTGGGTTACTTGCTCAAGGCCATCTAAGTAAGAGTAGTGATATTCAGAATTTTAGCTGAGGTCCTGTCTTCTCCAAGTCTGTGGCCTTGTCAGAGCACTGCGCTGCTGACCTGCTGTGCACGAGGGCATCTGAACTCCCTGAAACAGTGACCCCTCATCAAGGGAAGTTCTGATCATACTGGTGGTAGTAAGGTCAACCTGAGTAGTGGAAAAAATGAGGTGGAGCCTTCACATTCTTCAAGACCCCGTGTGGGGCAACGTTATATATGATTTTCACACTGAAAACCTGTCCTTTATTTTATGGCTGTAGCTTTTTGCTTCCTCTGATTTTCTTGTCTGTTAGCCAGACTTGCTGTGTTTCCAGTTCTGCTTTTTAATTTAGCCTTGGAGACTTTTTTGATAAGAACCACATCATTTCTAATTGCTATAATTATAATAAAATGGGATTATCTGTCATGGGGCCGCATAGCACCAGATATACAGTGGGTGCTCTGCACGCACTAGCTGTCATTGTCACACCTAGTCGGTGACTCTTTATCACGGTCTGTGGCCACTCACCATTTGGGTACATAACTATTTTTCTTTAGGTCTTGTATGTCTTTGGCCACCCCTTTTTTCACTCCTACTTCTAACACAGAAGATGAGTTTATGTGAATTATGGAAAGGTGGTCTGTCCAAAAAGACACCCTTTCCTGGCTCAGGACCTGGGGACTAGAGTTCAGCCACCATTTGACCCTGTCAGCTGGAGGACAGCAGGCCTGGCTGGTCCGTTTGATTGTTGTTACTTTGTTGGACTGCTTGGTACATTGCTGGTCCCCAAAGCGTATCTCTCACCCTGGTCAATCCTAGCATTCATATTCAGCTTCTTCCTAAGACAGGCTTTTTCTCCTGTTGAATCACGTGGTCTATACTTTGTCTCCTTTGATTCCTAGAAGCTTATTGTCTGGTCCTTCTACTTGTGGGGACCTTAGTTATTCTCACACTGAGATGCATGATGCTCCCCACTTTCCCATAATCCACTTGAATGTCTGAATTTCCTTCCTCCTTCCCTCATCTGTCTGAAACAGAGTGGGTTCGAAGTGCAGGGGCTGCAGCTTAGGGATGCTTGAAGGCATTCTTCCCCTGGCCATGGGCTTCCGGACTCGGGCTGAGTGCCATCCCATGCGGTTGTCTTAAAAGTTTTACTGCTGCAGTTGGTTGTTTGGACTGTGTGTATGAAGGGCT